GAAGCATGGAAACAGTTACAAAAGTAACTACTTAATCAGAAGCATGGCTGATGATAAAGAAAGTAGAAGTGGTATAAGGTAACTTATCATCACTGTAAGTACTCGTGGAGCTTACAGAAAGTGTAGTGGGTGGCAGCACATGCTTGTGGTTTTAGCACTAGGGCAGAACTAGGACAAGCAATGGTTACAGACCAGCTTGGGCTACAGGGCAAGACCCTGACTAAGTAAAATAGAGGAGGGCTGGAAAGAGAGATGAATGGCTCAGTGACTAAGCTCATGCTGCTCTTCCAGGGGACCCAAGTTTGGTTCCCAGCATCCAAGTCAAGTGGTTTACAATGGACTGACCTGCAACTCCAGGGGATGAGATGCCTCTGGGCTCTGAGGGCACTTGACCTTATGTGCACAAACCTATGCAGGCATACACATAATTTAAAATAATAAAAATAATGTTTTAGGGGGCCTGAGAGATGGCTCAGTGGTTAAGAGCACTGTCTGCTCTTCCAGAAGTCCTGACTAGCTCACAAGCATCTGTAATAGGGTCCGATGCCCTCTTCTGGTGTGTCTGAAGACAGCAACAGTGTACTCACATACATAAAATAAATAAATCTTTTTTAAAAAATGGTTTAAAGTTAAGAAAATCAAATTGTAAAAGGGAGGAGGCTGAGACTGTAGCTCAATTGGTAGAGTATGTAAGGACCTGGGTTTGAGTCCACCAGTGATGGTGCATACCTATAATCCCAACACTAGAGAGGTATAGGCAGCCAGATCAGACGTTCAGGGACATCCTTGGCTACATAGTATGAGGCCAGCCTAGACTACATGACACAATGTTTCAAACGAAGGGGAGCGGCCCTGGCTCTGTGGATAAGGTGCCTGCCAAACCTGATGATCCGATTTTTTTATCCCTGATAATATATATCCCTATATGGTGGAAGAAGAGCACCGACTCCCACAAAATGTTCTTTTGAGCTCCACATGCATGCCATGACAAATAAAGACCTGTGCCACCACTGCCCGGGCCAAAATTTAATTTCTTTTTAATTAAAAAAAGAAGAAGAGGAAGAGAAGGAGTAGGAACAGTGGCAGGAAATGAAGACAGGACCAAAAGAAGTGAAATGTACAGCATGGTTTACCTGCCTGTAATCATAGAACCTGGGGAGCTGAGGCAGGGGGACCGTGATGAGTTCCAGACCATCTGGGCTACATGGCAAGACACACTGTCAACAAACCACAAACAGGGCCTGGTGGCTCACATCTATAATCCCAGCACTTGGGAGGTAGAAGTGAGAACATCAGGAGTTGAAGGTCAACCAGGGTTACTGTAGACTTTGCACTAAGACACACAATACTTTGAATAGCAGTGGGTACTACCGTGAGGGACCGAGCAGGGAAAAAGCCTGAACCATTTGCGGGAGAAGACAAGGAGTACACTTTTAGTGAGATGCTTGGGAAATCCTCACTAAGCAAATTTTGTTTGGAAAAGACCCGAAGGCAGCGCTGGAGCAAACCACGTGGCTCTGCCTGGCTAAAGTCTACCAAACACAGATCAGTAGGCACAGACCTTGAGACAGGGCTATGCCCTACAGTGTGAAGAGCTGCTGGACAAACAGAAACAGGAGCTGAGGACAGGGAGACAGAGGCAGAATCCTATGATGTGTGGGAAGATAGGGGGAGATTTAAGGGGAAGGACTACACTGACTTTGATTGATGTGATTAAAAAAAAAACAGAAACAAGGGCTGGAGAGATGGCTCGGTGGATAAGAGCACTCACTGCTATTCCAAAGGTCCTGAGTTCAATTCCCAGCACCCACATGGCAGCTCACAACTATCTGATGCTGTCTTTTGGTGTGCAGATTCGAATACAAAGTACCCGTATACATAAAATACAAAACCAAGTAAATCTAAAAGTAAATAAATAAAATGAAACGTACTTTATTAAAATACACGCTCACAAACAAGGGGGTGGAGAGATCGCAGAGGACCCAGGGGGCTCCCAGCTCCCACATGGTGGCTTACAAACATCTGAAACTCTAGTTCTAGGGGATCCAGTCCCTCTTCTGACCTCTTCAGGCACCAGGATAGTATGTGGTACATACAGGCAGGCAGAACACACACACATAAAAATAAATAAAGAAATCTTAAAAAAAAAAAAAACAAAACCTGCAGAAGGACAGGGCAGAACCAGGGAGATTGGTCAGGGCAGAGATCAGAGATGATGTCGGTTAGAACTCAGGTAGGGACAGTGATTAAGAAGTAATCAAATCCTTAACATATTCTGAACACATCATCAAGATCAATAAACCAATTCTCCCTCACACAAAGAGAAGAGGGGAGAGAGATTCTGATTAAGGATAGTTTTTGAACATTTGGCCTGACTCAGGCCCAAATGCCCATTATGTAAATGAGGAGGACTTTAGGAGAACAGGCTTGGAAATGAGAGCACGATCTCATTTGTGAGCAAAGTCTGAAATGTCTGTCAAACGGCCTCACGAAGATGCTGAGTAGCCTGGGTTATGCAAACACCTGGATGTAGAAAGGAGAGGCTCGTGGTCCTCACCCTAAAAGGGACATTTGAAGCCACAAAGCAATGTGACTCCTCAGGAGGGAGAATAGAAAAAAAACAAAACAAAAAAAACAAGGGGTCAAAAGTCTGCTGCTGAGCTATGGGGAGCTCGGGGTTTCCCTTGTAAGGATAAAAGGGGGTCAATGAAACAGAATGTGAAAGTGTGCTGGTGGGAAGCCAGAAGCGCGTTGGCCCAGAAAGCAGAGGACATTTCAAGGAGATGGGAGTCTTCTTGTGAAATGCCAAGTCCACTGGGGTGGGCTGGAAAGTGACTCCTGAGTTCAAAGCACAGGGTGGGAAGCAAAGCTCACAAGCCCAGCTAAAGCCACCGGAGGGAGGGACATGGAGGAGTGAAATGGTTTGAGAAAAAGAACAGAAGAAAGGGACTACACTCAGGGACATTAACATTTAAATGTATTCTTTCTCTCCTGAGCAGAGAAATGGCTCAGGAGATGTAGGGTCAGCCACTTCCTCCGACACACACACACACAAGTATACTTTCTGTATACATAGAGTGTGTATAGATGGTATGTGTGTACGTATGTGTATGTGATAAATGTGTACATAACTATGCTGAAATGCCTATCGTGTGTCTCTCCATATACATGATGAGAGAGACAGAGACAGAGAGAGGATGTACATACTTCCCAGAGAGAAAGAAACAATACAGGAGAGAGAGGAGGAGGGTAGTGGGAAGATTCAGGGTCTTATGGACCTGTGGAAAGCTCTACTTTGGCTAGTCTATCCACCTGCGATAACAAGATGAAAGGCAGTAGACACAGACAGGTGAGTAGATATAGTGACATAACTTGTCTGAGAACACAGACACAACTATAAGAAACAAAGTAACAAGATGAAAGGCAGTAGACACAGACAGGTGAGTAGATATCGTGACATAACTTGTCTGAGAACACGGACACAACTATAAGAAACAAAGTAACAAGATGAAAGGCAGTAGACACAGACAGGTGAGTAGATATAGTGACATAACTTGTCTGAGAACACAGACAAAACCGTAAGAAACAAAGTCGTCAGATAAGGGTGATAATCGCAGAGGAGGAAGAATCAGATGTCTCGGACAGTGGAAGACTAAATGGGCAAAGGAAACAGGACAGGCTAGCTGGGTAGCACAGGAACCTGAGCTCAGTAATACAAATGTACAATAAGTCCAGTTAGCACAAGTGAGTACTGAGAAGGCCTAAGCCATCCTGTGTGTGGGGGATGTGTGTGGTGTGGGGTGTGTGTATGATGAGTGTGTAGGGGGTGTGGGGTAGGGGTTGTGGTGTGGGGGGTGCTGTGTGTGGTGTGTGTATGTGTGTGGTGTGTGAGATATGTGTGTATGGTGTGTGGTGTCTGTGTGTGTGTGTAAAGCCTTCCCTTCAAAGGGCTGTTTGAGCCTAGCAATGGAAAATTCATTTGCATTAATCAGGCAGTAAGACTGTTTTAAACACAAAGTACAGCTCCCATGAAGTCCCTAAGGAAGGGGACATCAAAGAAAATTTTCAGAATGGACAGAAGTTCAGCAGATCACACTAGGAGAACAGTCGGGGAGCGGCACAGAAAGAGGCTAGAGAGGGAGGCAGGCCGTTGGAAAGCAACAAGACTCCAGAGGGGTGGGGTGTAATAATGATGGGGTGGTAGCCATTTTGAAAAAACCATTCTGAATGTAGGGTGGTGTGAGCCACCATCTAGGTGGGGGCCGGAACTGGAAACAAGAAGACCAACCAGTTTGACTACTTATTATAGTCTGAGCAAGGGATGATGGTGGCCCAGGCTGGGCAGCCAAGAGAATAGCTGAAGAAACACAAGAAAATCCCCACAGTGGCTGTGGCTTCATGATAGGAGAGAGAGCTTGGCTGAAGGAAGGGCACAGGGTCAGTCTGAGAGTGCTAACCTCTCCCATGGAGAAGCATGAAGATACCTCTGAAAAGCAGGGCAAGAATTGGTAGTGGACAGACTACGGATGGTGAGACAAGGAAAAGACAGTTGTGTGAGTGTGGAGAAGGCATCCCAGGGTCGGCTGAATCCTGCATTACAAAGTCAGAGAATAGAGTACACCCAGATCCCAGACTTGGCAACTAAACAGGGCACAGAAAAGCAGCAGCTGCTATGACAGTAAGTGAAGACAGGTGCGCTCTCTCTCTCTCTCTCTCTCTCTCTCTCACACACACACACACACACACACACATACACACATATACACATAAACACATGCATACACACATAGACACACGCATATACATACACACATGCGTGTGCACACACACATACACACACATATACCTACATCAACTCACATACAGGCACACATCCACATGCATATACACAGGCACACACACACACACACACACACACACACACACTTTCCCCCTTGCCTCCTTCTCTCCCTTCCTACCTGAAACAGGGTCTTACCCTGTAACCCTGGCTGGCCTTGATTCTACCGCAATCTCCCTAACCCTTGTGTGCTGAGATTACAGGCATGAACCACTCCACTTGGCTTCTTTGCTTTTGATATAACTTATTGACTCCCGTCCAGTCTTCCTCCAACTCCTCATCTGCCTGAGCTTCCCTTTGATGGATTGCTCAACCCTCAAGGTAGCTAGCCAGAGCACAGCCATGCTACTCAGACCTCACTACCATGTGTGTACCATAGTGTCTTCCCACATTGTCCCTCACTAGACTACAGGTTCCGTGGAGGGAGGAAATCCTTCTTAGTCAACGTCAAATCCTCAGCCCCCAGCGTGCCCCTTGGCACACAGAGAGTACATATTGACTGAATGAATATAACAATAAATGCCCGCCTCTGCAAAGACTGTCCTCAATGTGATCCACTTCTATTCCTATGAATAAGGACATCCTGGTTTACATGACATAGGTCACAAGGCAAGGAGCTTTTGTAGTTTCTTGCTCAAAGTTAAATTCAACGTCCCTGACCTTTTCCTTTCCCAAGTCTCAGCTGTCTAATTACCATCCCTACATCTGGAATGAATATACATATTCATCCACACCCTAGTCCTTCAGAGTTCGTAACCTTGCTTCTTTTAGCATCAAAAACCTAAGGCTGTATTGCAGTTTGGTGGCACACACCTATAACCCCAGCACTAGGAAAAGTAAGACAGGAGGACCAGGAATTCAAGACTAATCTTCTCCACGTAATGAATTGTAAGGCCAGCCCGAACAACAAGAGAGCCTGTCTCAACCAGACTACACCACACCCCATTCCCCTCCCCCTCAGAAAAAAAGAAAAAAAGAAAAAAAGAAAAAAAGAAAGAAAGAAAGAAAAGAAAAAGACAAAATTTAAGAGACCCTAACATAACAAAGCTACAAAACTTGGATGAGGTTCACTGCCCTAAGTCTCTCCTTCAGAAAATCCATGCAAGCATCTCCAGTGATTTTTTTTTTTTCACGGAATCCCTGTCGTATTTGTTTTAGAGACCCTGAAACCAGCTAGCTTGAGTGTTCTGAACGCTCATCAGCGCTGTCTGCCTCGCAGGAGAGTAGAGGTTTGTTAAAAAGGAAAGAACTGAGCAGAGTTCAAAAGACCTGCCCACCCCCAGGAATCCACGTCTAACTTCTCCACACTCCAACTCCCCCTCCTCCCGCCTCAGTGCCAGCTCACGCACCCTGCAGCGCCGCCAAGATTCCCACGATGCCCGTCCCTGCGCCCAGTTCGATCACCTTCTTGCCTCGAAAATCCACATTTTGACTCTCGAAATAGTTACACAGGCTCAGAGCCTATGAGGAAGGGAAAGAGAAAGAAAGTGGGAAACTGTCACAGCGGTGGTTCCATATGGGAGAGGCGGGGTCCAGGGACTGGACCTCTCAGGGACCCTCACTTAGGGTAGCCCATTCCTCACCGCATCCCACACGCGTGCCGCCACCCCAAGGCGCGACCCAAAGTTCTGCGTGATGCTCAGCTCGTGCCCACAGAAGCAGAACCGACTGCTCTCTGAGTAAGAGTCGGTGAAGAGCCCGACCTCCCGTGGGAACACGGATTCGGGCTCCGTCTCCGGATCGGTATGAGAGCTGGCCATCCGGCAGATAGAGCGCCCTTGCACCCTGGCCAGCGCTCGGATCCTCTCAATCCGTGCGGGGTTGAGGCTGGGGACTGCCAGCCATATGGGCTGCTCCCAGGCACCGGGCCCCGCCTCCCCAGTTCGCCCTCCTTCCTCCAGCTGGACTTCCTGGAGATGGATGGGTGACCCCCGGGCTGGGATCCCTGGCGCACATAGAACAGGACGTACACAGCACTGTACGGGCCAGACTTGGTTTGAGATAACCAGAAGAGAGAAGAAATGATGCTTGATTGTCGTAGGCGGGTCCCTCACATCCCGCTCACCTGTGGGGTGCACAGGTGCCTATGGAACCCTGACTAGGCAGGAGCGAGCCAAGGGAGAATGCAGGGTGTTCGGAGCTCGCCTTCCCGTACAGTTGGAGATAGCAGAGCGCCAGTTCCCCCGCCCGCTCCCTTCAGGGTCCTCTCCCCCAAGATTCAGCAGAATTTGCTCTTGGCTCTTTAAAAGGCGGGGCCTGCTGGCAGCCCACGGTGTGCGTCATCACCTGGCGCCGGGAGCTCGGTTCTCCACGTGGACTGTGTGGCATCATGGCGGGAGCCGAGGCCCCCCAGCCACAGAAGCGCTACTACCGGCAGCGCGCCCACTCCAACCCCATGGCGGACCACACGCTGTGCTAGTGAGCGAGCCGGGCGGGATCCGGGAGGGAGGGCGCCTCACGCAGCCTGGGGAGGCGGTCGCGCTAGGGCCACAGCTAGGACTTGAGATAGACCTGGGAGGACTGTCCGGATGACACATCAGCTGAAGATGGCTTAGGGAAATTGGGCAGAAGGCGGAGTCGGCTGGCTGGGAGGGGTCGTGGTGTTGGAGACTTAAGTCTGGTTGGACTTGACAACCAGTTCTAGGAAGAGGGAAAAAAGTATAGCCGAAACTAAAGTGAAGACGCGAAGCAAATTGTCATTTCCAGCTTCCGATTTCTTTTTAAAATTTGGTTTGGGTTTTCGAGAGAGGGTTTCTCTGTATAGCCCTAGTTGTCCTGGCACTCACTTTGTAGATCAGGCTGGCCTCGAACTGACAGAGATTCAGCTTTCTCTGCCTCCTGAGCGCTGGGACTAAAGGCGTGCAACACCATACCCGGCTCCGATTTTGGTTTTTGAATTTATAAAAAGATAAACATATGTACACACTCCTGGCCACTCCTTGCTCCGTCTTCACCACACAAAATACATAAACAAAGAGTGTCGGAGAGATGGCTCAATGGTTAAGAGGGCTTGACTGCTCTTCCAGAGGTCCTGAATTCAATTCCCAGCGATCACATGGTTGTTCACAACCACCTATAATGGAATCTGATTGCCTGTTCTGGTGTGCATGAAGTGTGCATGAACACTCATACACATAAAATGCACGGGTAAATAAAAATTTTAAAGTATGCATAAACAAAGTAGTGCTCCAGTGCCTCAGGCAGTCAGTCTCTGGGAAAACCTGATGCGTCAGTACCCAGAAGAGCTTGGCAGATCTGCAGCCATAGCCTCATGATGGGACTGTGATTCACACCCTAGAAGCCAGGGGACTTTCCATTACGTCTTCTACACACCACATGGACCCTGCATGCAGAATTTTTTTCTAAGCCTACCATTCCCCCCACACCTCTACACAAGCATGTGTGCAACGGTATGTCCAACGGTCTCATGTGTCTCATGTCTTCTTTCCAATAGCCCTGTGAAGCCAGAGGAGATGGACTGGTCTGAGCTTTACCCAGAGTTCTTTGCTCCGCTTACTCAAAATAAGAGCCATGATGATCCAAAGGATGAGAAGGAAAAGCACTCTGGGGCCCAAGTGGAGTTTGCAGACATAGGCTGTGGCTATGGTGGCTTGTTAGGTAATATGCTGGCCCTTTTCTTGGGACAAGGAGAGGCCTGGGTTCTGCCATCTCAGCAGGTTAGAGGCAGGATTTGTTGACCTTTCCTCCTGGGACCAGACACCAGTGACATCAGTGTGGAGAGCCTCCACCGTCCTTCTACTCTGGGTCTGTGGCCTTTGCCCTGGAGAAGGGAGGGGGCTGCCTCCAACGTATCTGAGAACCCCGGGGTTGTTCTGTCTGGCTCCAATGGCTCCAGTCCCTCTGTGAGCCATTCCACTGCCTTGTGCTGGGTCAGTGAGCCGGTCAGCACGAGCGTCAGAGATCAGCTCCTGTGGCCACTGATCCTGAACTGTCTCTCGGGGACTCCACCACCTTCCCTCTCCTACCCCTTTTCTCATCAGAACACATTCAGCTCCACCCTCTCATGTTTCGGGGTTCCTGTTACATTTCTTTGTTTTCCAGAGCATGCATGTCAAGCCACTGTTTACATCTTCCCTACAGATCTTCCTCTGTAGACAGATAGCAGTGTACCCTATAGACCTTCCCTTGTAGACAGATAGCAATGTACCCTATAGACCTTCCCCTGTAGACAGATAGCAATGTACCCCATAGATCTTTCCCTGTAGACAGATAGCACTGTCCCCTATAGATCTTCCCCTATAGACAGATAGCACTGTCCCCTATAATCTTCCCCATAGACAGATAGCAGCATACGCTATAGACCTTCTCCTGTAGACAGATAGCAGTGCACCTTACCTATAGACCTTCCCCTGTAGACAGATAGCAGTGCACCTTACCTATAGATCTTCCCCTATAGATAGCAGCGTGCCCTATAGTCCTTCCCCTATAGACAGTTAGCAGTGTGTCCTATAGATCTTCCCCTGTAGATAGCAGTGTCCCCTATAGATCTTCCCCTGTAGACAGATAGCAGCATGCCCTATAGATCTTCCCCTGTAGATAGATAGCAGCATAGCCTATAGGTCTTCCCCTATAGACAGATAGCAGTGTGCTCTATAGATCTTCCCCTATAGACAGATAGCAGCGTGCCCTGTAGATCTTCCCCTATAGATAGATAGCAGTGTGCCCTGTAGATCTTCCCCTATAGATAGATAGCAGTGTGCCCTATAGACCTTCCCCTATAGACAGATAGCAGCATACCCTATAGATCTTCCCCTATAGACAGATAGCAGTGTGCTCTATAGATCTTCCCCATAGACAGATAGCAGTGTGCCCTATAGATCTTCCCCTATAGACAGATAGCAGCGTGCCCTATAGATCTTCCCCATAGACAGATAGCAGCGTGCCCTATAGATCTTCCCCTATAGACAGATAGCAGCATACCCTATAGATCTTCCCCTATAGACAGATAGCAGCATGCCCTATAGATCTCCCCCTATAGACAGTAGTGTATCAGAGAGGAGGAGCATGGCGCTCGGAGACTGAAGACTTTTCTCACGTTAGCGCTTCTCTCCTTGTTAATTCTATGGTCTTAGCATTTCTGCCCTCCGTCTCCCAACTTTCACACTGCACCAGAGAGTGTTATAAAGACTAAATGAAGCCGGGCGGTGGTGGCACACCTATGATCCCAGCACTTGGGAGGCAGAGGCAGCTGGACCTCTGAGTTTAAGGGTAACCTAGTGTACAAATTGAATCCCAGGACAACCAAGGAAGCCCTGTATCAGAAAAAAAAATTAAATATGACTACATGATGATCACTGTAAAAACTCAAGAGCAAATGCGAACTGTGCCTATGGCTCCTGCCCTTTTATTCTAGTCTACATGACAGATCTTGTCTCGTTGTTGGTTATTTTATGTTTTGAATCAGGGTTTCACTATGTAGCCCGGTCTAGTCTGGAACTTCCTACATGGTACAGGGTGACCTTGAACTCACAGATTTGCCTGCCTCTGCCCCCCATTTCCCTACTTCCAATTGTTTTGGTTAAAGGCATGAGCCACCACATCGTGCTCCTGGGACAGTGTGACAGTTTTTGTGTTTTTCCTATCTCTTCTGCAGAAAATCTCTGCAGGGTATGGGTATCTCTGCCCCACCCCAGACTTAGATATCTAACAACTCTCTTTCCTGTTTAATCTCTCTGTACTTCCTCAAAATGTGACACTGATGGTCCCCTTGATGTCTCTATCCCCAGTGGCACTGTCACCGCTCTTCCCAGATACCCTGATTCTGGGTCTGGAGATTCGGGTGAAGGTGTCAGACTATGTGCAGGACAGGATTCGGGCCCTCCGTGCAACACCCGGGGGCGGATTCCAGAACATCGCCTGTCTCCGCAGTAACGCCATGAAGCACCTTCCTAACTTCTTCCGCAAGGGCCAGGTGCAACCTGGGGAGCAGCCGGGTGGGTTAGGCTGGGCGGCAGGTGGAGGTGGAGCCAGGCATTCATGGGCAATCCTATTGGTGCACATCTGTCCACAGCTGGCAAAGATGTTCTTCCTGTTTCCCGACCCGCATTTTAAGCGTACGAAGCATAAATGGCGAATCATCAGCCCCACACTTCTGGCAGAATACGCCTATGTGCTGAGAGTCGGGGTGAGTGAGGCAGAAGATGCTGTAGGTAGCCTGCCCTGGGCCCTTCGCTAAGAACTTAGTCTGGGGGAGGCTCGTTCAGGAAGTTGTACTGTCAGCGTCATCCCCCCCAACCCCACCCGCGTGGCTCAGCTGCATGTAGCCCCGATCTACAGAGATGTCACCTGTACAGGGCCTGGTGTACACCATCACGGATGTGCTGGAACTACATGAATGGATGTGCACCCATTTTGAAGAGCACCCACTGTTTGAGCGTGTGCCTCTGGAAGAACTAGTAAGTAGGACACCTGAGGGAAGTCGCAAGGGTGCAGGCTGCTCAGAGCGGGCTGTAGTTAGTCCTTGAACTTAGCTCAGGGCCAGGAGTCTCCCTGCCCTAAGGCATTTTGAAAGGTGGGCAGAGACATTCCGGACCCTTTTTCTGCAGAGTGAAGACCCCATTGTGGAACATCTAGGCACTTCAACTGAGGAAGGAAAGAAAGTTCTACGCAATGGAGGGAAGAATTTCCCAGCCATCTTCCGAAGAATACAGGATCCCCTCCTCAAGGCAGTGACCCCCAATCTCACCCTGCCTTAGCCCCTCTTCTAGTGACTGGAAAAAAGATCAGCTCACCATTCCAGGCCTTCCCAGGCTGGTGGGACTGTGAGGCCGTGACCTCCGCAAGAAGTCGGGGTGCAGTCTGTGGGTGTTCTTACCTGACACTCGTACTGCTCTTTTGTCCCTCCACTGTCAGAAGAAAGCAGGAGAAGCTGACTGAGAAGCTCAAAGGACCTTGGACCAGAGGGGATATTTGGAGGGCTGTGGGTGTTTCCTTCTCCTTGAGTTCCCCCTCCTCCTGGGGCCTCTCTAGCTGGGGTGAAATGTGTGGTGCCCACTGTCTTAGGCTGTATGTTTGGCTCAGGTTGCCTTCAGTTGTGTTTACTTTGCAGTTCTGGGGATGATGGGTGTGTGCTCACATACCAATGTGTGTATGTATCTACATGCCCATGTGTGTGTACCCAAGTGGATGTGCCCACATGCCCATGTATGTGTGCCCACGTGCCCAAGTGTGTACCCATATGTGTGCCCAAGTACCTGTATGGGTGTCCAAGTGCTCATGTGTGTGCCCATGTGTATTCCTGAGTGCCCATGTGTGTGTGTCCATGTGCCAATGCCACTATTTCCCAAGAAAGGCTATGGTATGTGTCAAATGCCTCCTGCCAACTTCTCCCTGCTTGCTCTGGAGGGCAAGAGGGTGGAGAACCTTCCTTGTCTTTACCATGTTGAACTTGATTGCAGAATTTCAGACCTGACTGACTGGCTTAGCAGTGCCTGATGGGAAGGGAGGGTAGGCGGAGGAACAGGGAGATAACCTGGAAAAAAATTTAAAGAATTATTTTTATTTTATGTGTTTGAGTGTTTGCCTGAATATATATGTATTCTCATCACACATGTGCCTGGTGCCCTTGGGGCCCAGAAAAAGTTGGTTCCCCCGAACCTAGAGAGACAGATGGTTGTGAGCTGTCATGTGGGTGCTGGGAACTGAACCCTGCACCTCTGTAAGAGCAGCCAGTGCTCTTAACTGCTAAGCTGTCTCTGCAGCCACTAACCCGGAGAATCGTGTGGCTGAAAACAGTAAGTGGTTGCTGACCACAAAGGTCACAGAGGAGGTGGAATCGGCCTGGGATTCAGAGTGCGCCCTTAGCCTTCATTCTATCCAGAGACGGGGTATCCGAGAGGTGAGGGTATGCACACATGCGTATATGCTGGTACAGTTCAGTAAGGTCAGCCCTCATCTTCCACTCTGTGGGACCATGGGGTGACACTCAGATCCTTGGGCTCAGTGTGAAGTGCATTTACCTGCGGAGGGATCTTGCTGACTAAGACACTCCTTCATTTCTGTTCCTCAAACCCAAATACCATGTCTGTAAAGAGGGATCTCCTTGAGTTAAGAGACTTCCCTTTCCCAAGAAACAAAGATGGGAGTCTGGAGAGATCGCCTGGGTGGATAAGAGTACTCAGTCTTCCAGAAAACCCCAACTCAGTTCCTAGCACCCAAGGTGGGTGACTCACTTCTTGTAAATCCAGTTCCAGGAGACTTAGTGTCCTTTCCTGGACTCTGGGCAGCTGCACTCAGGTGAGTGCACACACACACACACACACACCAATATGTGTGCACATAGTTTAAAGTCTTCAAAAGGAAAAGGTCAGAACCTATGGCTCAAGGGTTAGGAGCACGTGTTGCTCTTCTAGAGAACCTAGGTTCAGTTCCCAGTACTTACAGATGGCTCAAAACCATAATTCCAGATCCAGGGGTTCCAACTCCCTCTTCTGACTTCACAGGCACTAGACCACCTGAGTATACATGCATAAAAGCAAATCATGCACATAAACAAAATCCAAAATGCAAAAAAATAAATCTAAGGTGAAGATGGCTGATACCATGTTAGCTCACATGCGTCTTTCTGTTGTGTTATATGCATAGGAGGGGAGAGGTGTGGACAATGCAGGTGAAACCCCACAGCAAAAAGACAACCCAAGAATTTGGGGGCAGCTGAAACTGCACCTTCTACCTAGTTTCCATTCAGGGGGTGACAGAATTTCCGGGAATGCGCCTGAGGGACTCCCCAGGGAAATGGGAAACTCATCAGGCACTGGCTCCTGAACTCGAGACATAGCCTTTCCCAGGAAGAACATTAGGCTGCTGCTGGACCAGGGCATTAATACAAGAGGAGCACACGACCTCTGCCGGGGAGCTGTTACAACAGGAGACCCAAAAGCCAGCGAGTCAGCCCTAGCCCTGCCTTCTGTTCTGGGTGCTGAGCTGCACAGACCACTGCCAAGGGATTGGCTGAAAAGCCTGGAGAGGGGCGTCTTCACCTCCGGGGCCAAGGGTATATAGGGGTTCAGGCAAGTGCAGAAGATGCTTTGGAGAAGTGCTCTCTGGAGCAGACTCCCCAAACAAACATGACCCAGGTAGTCAAGCTCGCCTCCAGAGTTTTCCATCGAGTCCACCTGCACCCGCAGTTGGATGCCTCCCTGGGCTCCAGAGGCAGTGACTCGGTTCTCCGGAGTTTGTCTGACATCCCTGGGCCCTCTACGCCTAGCTTCCTGGCTGAACTCTTCTGCAAAGGGGGGCTGTCCCGGCTACATGAACTGCAGGTAAGGCAGCAGCCCCTGCCCTTGGTAGGACTGAGTTGGGAGAGCTGCGTTTAGTGGCAGAAAGGACCATGGTGAAGAACACAGGAAGGAGGGTCAGTGAGGATGGGGACTTGTGGATTATGAAAAACTCACGCTGGGACTACAGAAGGTTTTACTGACACGGAGTCTATACCTAACTCCCCGCAAAGGGATGATGTACTCTCACTTTATTATAAACAGTAAACCCTGCAGATCCAGGACAGGAGTGCTGAAGGAGGGACAGCGCTGTGCTATCCTGCAGATGAGGCTTAAAGCTACGCGTTCCTTTTCTTTCACTAGAGGCTCATCTTGAGGTGCAGTTAGGAGAGCCTTAAAGGAACTGCTCCCCCTAGGCTAGATCCAGATAACTAAAGAGAAATGCTGAACCTCTGCTTTAGCAAAGCTCTGTTTTGTCATTCCCTCTCAAACTTTCATGGGATGGAAGGAAAAGTTTGCCACATCGGGGCGAACGCTAGCTTGGGACTGGAAAAGCTCTCCTCTCCCAAGCCTAGCCAACATCCCTGGCCTTGGCACGAGCCAAACTGAGAATCACTCGCCCCGTTATTGAAATGTGCCGGGCTCTCTCAGGTGCATGGCGCTGCGCGGTACGGTCCAATATGGTCCGGCAGCTTCGGGACACTTCGCACAGTTTACGTGGCCGACCCCGCACTTGTGGAGCAGCTCCTGCGACAAGAAAGTCATTGCCCAGAGCGCTGCAGTTTCTCTTCTTGGGCAGAGCACCGTCGCCGCCACCAGCGGGCTTGCGGATTGCTAACGGCGTGAGTCGACCCCTGAGCCCCAATCCCTCATTCCTGCCCCGACTCCCACAGCCAGGGTGAGCTTGGTTCACCTTGGTCGGCAGTTCCACCAATCTTCTGGCATTTCCCGATTCTCCAGTCTGTATTCCAGTCCGAACTCAGGTAGAGCTGATTCCTCACCCATCCCTGCACTTTTAGGGTCAGAATCCTACGAATCCATGAGATAGGCGAGGGCACCAGCATTTGGCTGGAAACGTAAGCATCTGTGATTCAGTTTACCACGGAACCCACTCCCATCCCTGGGCAGGAAGTGAGTAAAGAGGAGCGGGGATGGGAGAAGTGCGAGGTCAGGGTGATTTCTACACCCCGAGGGAGCAGGCACAATACTCCTGGTCACCCTAGCCTTCTCCACACACGCTCACATCACTAATACACCCTCCCCGCGCAGGGACGGTGAAGAATGGCAGAGGCTCCGAAGCCTCCTGGCCCCGCTACTCCTCCGGCCTCAAGCAGCCGCAGGCTATGCTGGAACTCTGGACAACGTGGTCCGTGACCTTGTGCGACGACTAAGGCGCCAGCGGGGACGTGGCTCTGGGCTACCCCACCTAGTTCTGGACGTGGCGGGAGAGTTTTACAAATTTGGCCTAGAAGGTGAGCCCTAAAGCAGAGTTAGGGACCCGTGTAGGTAGCTCTGGCCCCTAGACACCCGATGTCTGACTGCGCCCCCTCCTGGCCAGGTATAGGCGCGGTGCTGCTGGGATCGCGCCTGGGCTGCCTAGAGACTGAAGTCCCTCCGGACACAGAAACCTTCATTCATGCAGTGGGCTCGGTGTTTGTGTCTACACTCTTGACCATGGCAATGCCCAACTGGCTGCACCGCCTTATACCCGGACCCTGGGCCCGCCTCTGCCGAGACTGGGATCAGATGTTTGCTTTTGGTAAGGCCCGGGGGAGGGGACTGGATATCTATTGCTACACTGGAGCAGTGAGGCAGTGTGCCTTCCTTCTCAGCCCAGAAGCACGTGGAGCAGCGAGAAGCTGCCGTGAGGAACCAGGGAAAGCCTGAGGAGGATGTGCTGTCCGAGCATTATTTAACCCACTTCCTTTTCCGGGAAAAAGTGTCTGTCCAATCCATAGTGGGAAACGTGACAGAGCTACTACTGGCTGGAGTGGACACGGTGAGGTTCTCTCTATACTGAAATGCTATTTCCAGAGTGCAGTGTCCTCGTCCATCCCTGTCCCATCCCCCCGCCCCCCACCACCTCCCACACCCACCCCTGCTCCCCTGACCCCTGCGAGCACAAGGACCATTTTTCTGACTCAAGGATACAGGTTTAGCCTTAGTAATTATTTGGTCCCCGACCACCCCCTCCCTATGCTACCCCCTTCACCAGGGTCCCCGTGTCTAACAGCTCAGATGATCTCACCTGTTCCCTCAGGTATCCAACACGCTCTCCTGGACACTCTATGAGCTCTCCCGGCACCCAGATATCCAGTCTGCACTCCACTCTGAGATCACAGCTGCTGTGAACCCCGGCTCCTGTGCCCACCCCCAAGCCACTGCTCTGTCCCAGCTACCCCTGTTAAAGGCCGTGATCAAAGAAGTATTGAGGTGATGGGGAAAGAAAGCAGGAAGTAGATAAAACACTAGGGGGGAGCCGAGGAAACTGGCCGTGGGTGGAACAGGGGTGAGAGGAGAGACAACTGGCCCGATACTCCGCGTTTGGAAGTTGGAGACAAGGGGACTAGAGGCGCTGTGTTTCCCAGCCTCACCTTGTTTCATTTTCTGTTTCATGACCTAGATTGTACCCCGTGGTACCTGGGAATTCCCGTGTCCCAGACAGAGACATCCGTGTAGGAAACTATGTTATTCCCCAAGATGTGAGTAAATCCTTCTGCTAAGCCATTCCTTACGAGTCATTCTCAAACACTCCCCGGAGTCTTTCCAGCTCCCCTCCCCCAATAGAATGGGAGTAATAAAGTCCTTACCACCAACCAGGACCTACGTTTAAACTAGTCTGCAGATCCTTCATGTTCCCCATCCTGCATTCTTGGGCTCAGACTGACAACTCTGATCCCTCTGGGGGAGATGGGTACAGTGCTGGGATAGGGTCTTGCTATATAGCCCAGGTTGGCCTTGAACTCACTACCCTCCTGCTTCTGTTTTCTGATGGCTGGAACTGCAAGTGTGGACACAAAATTTGGCTACTGAACTAACAGTCTTGTCTTTACTTCCCACCAGACTCTGGTCTCCCTGTGTCACTATGCTACCTCAAGGGACCCCGCCCAGTTTCGAGAGCCCAACTCTTTTAATCCAGCTCGATGGCTGGGGGAGGGTCCAGCCCCCCACCCGTTTGCATCTCTTCCCTTTGGCTTTGGCAAACGAAGTTGCATTGGGAAACGCTTGGCAGAGCTCGAACTACAAATGGCTTTGGCCCAGGTAAGTGATGTAGAACTTACACCGTTTCCTGACCGGAAAGGCCCAATAAACATGGGTGATCTTGACCTCTGACAAACATAACAAAACATGTAAGCCTCAGCAGATAGACCCATTGACTTTCCCGTTATAAATCTGAAGCATCAGTGAAGATATCTGGACTGTCATTTTCCCTTCCACACTCCCCTGCCCTCATTGATCAAGAAGCCCCTTAGTGACTACAGATGCCATTCCAACAGTGGCTACTCCATTGTTCTTTACCAATTAAGGCCCCATTTTAGACCCACCCACAGTGACAACCTTCTTCTCCCCCTTGTCCCCGCTTTCCAGATCTTGACCCATTTTGAGGTACGGCCTGAGCCAGGTGCTCACCCAATCAAGCCCATGACCCGGACTGTCCTGGTACCCGAGAGGAGCATCAATCTACAGTTTGTAGACAGATAGTCCCGTGGAAGGCAGCCGTCATCATCTCTCTCCAGACAGGATGTTCTTTACTACACACAAGAGCCACACTCTCCCTCGAGGCCTGTCTGTCTGAGCAAACTTCAGGAAGCAGGTCCTGACCTATGTGTATTTGTCCTGACTCAGTGGGTATCACAGAACCACGATTCTTTCTCCTGCTCAATACCTCTCCTGATCATGTCTCAGGATCCAAGGCCCTCAGATTGTTAACACATCCTTAAAGCGCCAACTCAGGGGTTAACTAAAAGCCCTGGGCAGCCTGGAGAGGGATTCACTCTCTGATCCTTTGGTGTTTCCGGTGTTCCTTGATGAGCTGTCTAAGCGTTTATCACGGCACAAGCTAAGTGACTGTGCATCTGGTTTGCACCTGGTTGCATCTCTACCTGACCATCTGAGCTCTCCGAGACGAGTAATGACTGATCTACTGGGCTTTTAGCTCTTTTCCCTTCTGAGACAGAGTCTTGCTATATACTCCATGCTGTCCTTGAACTCACAACCCCCTCACCTCACCTTCCCAAGTGTTGGGTTACAGACACTAGCTACTGATTCCAGCTTTATCAGTCTTTCCATCAACTGTCAGGGTCTATCCCTGGCTATCTGACATCATACATTCTCAGATTGAATCTGGACCATGTGGCAGAAGAGATGACCGTTCACCAGGCTCTGCCCACCCTTTTCTCTCTTAATCTTTCCTCTAGGAAAGTAAATCTTCCCATGCCTACCTAATGGCATTTTTAAGCTCCCCTTGGCTGTTCTACTCTTCAGCCATTTGGCTCGTCGGCCACTCTAAAGTGGGTCCCCTCCTTATCATCCATCTTTTGGCCTTCCCTGCCCTGTCCTCCCCAGGCTGTCTTTTTATATTTAAAAAATTGTATTTATTACATGTTAAAATAAAATGTTTACTCCTTGGCTTTGGGTTTACTTTCCCTCCCACGCCTGGCAAGATCCTGAGCCCCATCACCCACCTCGGCTTCTCTCAGCTCTTGGGAGCAACTCCCATAACAATGGGAGGTCTGGATGATGATCCACTCGAAAGAGTGTTTTGTGACAAACCCAGACATGTTTCTATCTGTAGTGGGAACAGCCAAGTCTCGTCTGGCTTCCTAGCAGCGATATAAGGGGGGTGAACGGTGAGTGTAGGAGCTAAGTTGTAAAATGCATCTGGGTGCTTAGGGTTTTTTCAGAGACGGCCAGAGGCGGCTTGACTCTTGGTAAAAAGAAGAGCTTATAGAACCTGGACCACCAACACCGAAGGGCATCCTAGAATGTCCATTCCACCCTCCTTCAAAGAAAGATCCGGATTCCAGCAGGAGTCACCCAAGCAGGATGGAAGGAAGCAGAGTGTGAGAAGCCCTGGAGGCTGGCAGCACAAGCGAACCAAGCCAAGAGACCCTGTTTCCCTGAGTCAGCACCGCCCCCCTTCGGGGGCTGCACACAGTACTCCCCTTGTGAGGTACACAGATTAACTCATCCCCCATCCCAATGAATCTCTCGGCACTCTATACACCAGTGTCTGGATCCAGCTCACCCCCATGTTAGGACTTGCCTCCTTCTCCATCCCTCACGCTCCAGTTAGCTGGGGTATAGATTCCACTTCACACTCCCTCTACCCCATCCTAGACACGGCTCTCTAACCACAGAGACTCTGCCAGCCAGTGGACTTCCCATGGGGATCAAATCACACAAGACCCAGAGACGCAGGGCATGCTGGAAGCCTTGTGCCAAGACCAAGGACTCTGGACATTTCTTCCTCTTCCTCTTCTCGTCTCTTCTGTTTGCTCAATATCTGCCTCTACTGTCTTACCACCAAGTTCAACTTCAACATAAGATACCCGAGCTTTAGCAGAACTGAACTGGGAGGGTAAAGCTGAGCCTATGAGACCTCAAACTCAATAAAGGACCTGCCATCCTGTGCTGCCCAGTGGCTAGATAGAAATGCCACTTTGAAGAGGCAGCGGCACCTATGACCTCTTTCCTAGACAAGGGTCCGTGTCAGTTAGGAAAAGGAAAAAACAAGAGATTATATTGGTAGGTGTGCACAGCCTCATCCCAAGACCTCCACTGGTGTTGTAGGGGAGGGGAGATTGGGCCTTTGGCACCCAGAATGCACATGGGTATGTGTGTGTGTTCTTGAGTATGCCTAAGCTTCTAGGAAGAGCCCTCGCAAGGAACATCTAACCTTGGCCCAGAAGCCCCAGATGTGTCTTATCTACCTGAGTCCCTACTGCCAACACAGACTTAGTAGTTGCTGATTTTCTGTCCCTTATCTTATCTCTACCGACTCTTCTGTTAATAACAAATCAATAAAGTCAGCGCCCTCTGTCTCCAGGTAGTGGGGAGGGGGGGTGTGTTTCAGGGTAAAGTTTCCTGCCAGAAAACTGGAGGGCTCAGCCTCAGTTCCCTCTTCACTCTGCTCTTCTCAAGACCTTCGCATTTGGAATTAAGTCAGACACCCCCCAGCACGGCTCTGGTTCCGACACCCACAGGCCAATCTGCGGCCAGCACCATGGACAGCAGCCAAGACCCCTGCTGGAGAGGCATGGAGACCCCTGCTGGAGAGTCACGGAGCAAAGTTTGCGGTGCTCCAGGGTAGATGGGCTGTTAGAAGACACCCACTGTTTCCAAGCCTTTCCAAGAGGAAGCAGAACGGTACTGTCCATTAGAGGACCCATAGTAAGAAAGCCCTCTGGATCTGACTTTAGCAATGTATGAAGGAATTTTTTAATTGTTCGTGAATGGTTCACTTAAAAAAGACACCATCATTTCTATAACACTCGCCTCCAGGCTTCAGGAGGAAGGGGATCAAGCTTCAAGCTGACCCATATAATTCTTTTGGTGGTATGGGAATTAGCCCCAGGACCACATGCACACACCACTGACCCACACCCCCAGTCCTTAGACCCACATTTCCCAAATCCTTTCTGTAATATATAAGAGTTCTCTTCACCTTTATCTCACAGTAATACCACTAGCCGGGCACACCTGGATCAAACCTGTGACCCTGAGCTGCCGTAGAAATAGTCTCAACTGGGCTTAAAGTCGTAACACTGAGGGAAGAGGCTCCTTCCTTGTCACCCTAAAAGAGTCCATGTTCATCTCCCACAATTCCTCTGGGGGAACACAGGACCCAGAAGGAAAGGACTGTTCTCAGACAGGCTGAGTAGCTCAGCTGTCCCCCCCCCCCCCCACACACACACACACAGGTCTGGTGTTTGGAAGGTCAGGAGGGTTCTCACTCCTACAACGGCCACTGTCCCGCACAGATACAGTATCAACTTCCTCTTTTGTTTCTCTATTGTGTCTCTCAAAACACCAAAGTTGTGTGCCACTGCTGACAGAAACCACATTTCTGGACTTGCTATATCATCTACTGTTTAAAATAATAAGTGGCAACTAGTCCGGAACTCTGTATACGCCCCTGTCAATTTCCTTTGTCATAGAATTCAACCCATCTCCCGCTTATCCTCATCCCGAGTCTGTGAGGTAGACAGGAAGAAAAAAAGAGCTCAGGTATTATTTTTTTTTTCTAAATCACGTAACTCACAGGCGGCAAGCCCACCCCTCCTCAGCTACCTCTGAGCACTGACACCTAGCAGCACATGTGATTTATCCGCCGGCAAGCGGGAGTCCCTCTTCCAACTCCATACGCACTGTCGGGACTTGCAACCCATGCTGAGGAACCTCCCCACACCCTCTAGCCCTTCAGAAAAGCCCCAGATGAGAAAGGAGTCTCCACGTGCATATAAATGATTCTTTATGCCCTTCCCCCATGCAGTGGGGGGTGGGGCAGGGGGAAGTCCCCCGCCCTCATGCAGGGAACGGGAGGTCAATGTTTACTAGTCTTATTGCCAGATGCCCTGTGGCCATGGGGTGGGGAATGGGGGTCTACAGCCCCTTTTTGTTTCTGGCATTGGTCTCCCTTTACCAAGTCACCATGGTGGAGCCAGGGGACTGGAGGCCCTAAAGCTGAGGTAAAGATGGTTCTCTCCAGGAAGAAAAGTTGTTCTCCCCGCTTGCCTGCTGGCCATCCTCAAGATGAGTATGAGGCGGTGTCAGTGGGAACTGGAATGTCATCCGGGGGTCTCTACCCTGTGGGCAGTAGAGGCCAGGCAATGTCTCCAAGCTTGAGGCTGTCCACAGAGATCCTCAGTGGTGGGGTCACTGTGCCCCAATCACGTTGTCTAGGTTGTACCTCCAGCAGCCAGGAGAGCTCACCTCTGGCTGATGCACTGACTTAAGATCCCTGTTCCTGGAGTCCAGGTCAGACTGTGGTGACCCTCATGACAACCTCTCGACCAGATTGAGAGCTGGGACGAGCATCTGGTGGCCTTAGCTGTCCAAGGAGATGCAGGATTGTATAACCACAGCGCTGAGGTAAGAGCGTCCGCATGCGCTGGGCGGCTGGGGGCCGGCTGGGGGCCCCAGCAGGGGGGCTGGTCCGTGAGGTCCTGGGGCCTGGTTTCCCTGCTGCCCCTCCCCCTGTGTCTCCTCCCACATCCTTGGTCTTGTCATAGTTCAGGACCTTCCACTGCTGGTTCACGGCCTGCCAGCGCTTGAAGATGCGGTAAACAGAAGACCCTTCATGGACGATGAGGCCTAAGCGAAGGGAAGAGAAAACCAGGGTGAGCCGGCCAGCGGTGGTGCACGCCTTTAATCCCAGCACTGGGGAAGCAGAGGCCGGCGGATCTCTGAGTTCGAGGCCAGCCTGGTCTACACGGTGAGTTTCAGGACAGCCAGGGCTACAGGGTGAACTGCTGCCCACACATAGCATTAATCTCTGCAGACTGAGAAGGCAGATCTACAAAGACCAGGGCCCCAGGCTAGCCCTAACAGTTCTGCAACGGCCGGGCGGTGGTGGCGCACGCCTTTAATCCCAGCACTTGGGAGGCAGAGGCAGGTGAATTTCTGAGTTCGAGAGTTTGAGGCTAGCCTGGTCTACAGAGTGAGTTCCAGGACAGCCAGGGCTACATAGAGAAACCCTGTCTTGAAAAACCAAACCAAACCAAAACAAAACAGTTCTGCAATGGCGGAATTATGGCCATGAAGCTGCATGGATGGACAGGGAAGTTACATGACCACGCAAAGGAAGATGCTAAGCCGGCGCAGGAGAGAGAGGCGCGTCCTTACCTATGCATACAACATCCATGAAACCGTACATGCCATAGCAGATCTGGAAGAGCAGATCCTGGCGTTGCCACTTGGCCGAAGGGCTGAGTGAGGACCAGATGAGCCAGGAGATGCTGGCGACGAGGAACAGTGAGCCCAGGACAATAGCAGCAATCTGGACCTTCTCAATGACAGTCAGGGAGATGGCCTGCCACTGTGTGAGAGAAAGCGGTCAAATAAATCACTGGGTTACACAGCGGGGTGACGGCCAGCCCTAAAGAGAGGACCCCTTAAACTCTTCAGGCAGCATTCAGAAACTGTCTTCTCTGGGCTCTGATCTGGCCTAAGATGCAGTACTATATGGAAGATGCTAAGCAGAAGCGGGTACAGAGAGAGAGAGAGAGAAGTGTCCACTTGTCTAGCTCGTTCGAGAGAGGTGGGATCGGACAAGTGCTTTGAAAGCCAAACACGCGGACTGGAACCCCAATCTTAACTTACTAGCTGAGCAGTGTAGACAAGTATTTAATCTCTACATGTGTCTGTGCCCCCGTTACTAAAGACAGGCATGATAACGGCATCTAATAAGATCATTATGAAGAGTAAGAGTTAATATACAACAAATGACATACGGCAAACAGAGTGTATTTACGGTCATCATTAACAGTGTCTTCCCCCGACCCCTCGTTGTTCTAAGTGTCTAGAACAGGGCCAGAACGGCGTGTCTTGGACCGCCATACTGGTGGAGGGAGGTGGCTTTGGGGAAACACTTAAGA